CATGTTTTAATTAACTTATACTTCAAATCAATTTTCGATACAACTCTCGGAAGCTCATGGTTAAGAGAAAACTAATTAGTGGATAGCAAATCTAAATCAAATCTGTTGGATTAAAACTATTTAATATTTTATTGAAATCCGTGAACATTTGAAGAAACCCCTTGAATAGTGCAACAATATTTAATAATCTTTAACCGCCTTAAAAAATCTGAGAAATCTAACGAAAATCATCAGAATATGATACATCAAGTTTCCGATGCCCGAGAGAAGCATCGTTAGTACTGGTTAGTGATTCAAAACATTGTGCTGCAATGTTTCAAAAAAGAAACGTCAATTCTGGACTCGAGCAGAGCCTGACGAATTGAAATCTATCTTAACAAATTTCGATGAGTTGATTACCTTATTTATTAGTGTTGATCAAGATGCGCAGTATCTTTTTCGAAAAGAACCATGTGAATTAATATAAATAGTAGAGAAATTGAATGTGAAATAAAGTGGCGATATGGAAATAGTTAAGAAGAATATCAAAGGACTCAATATGACTACCACGGTGATTGATTCAATAAATTTTAATATTTTTTCAGTAGATGTCTGTCCCATGGGTTCCCATGGAATGGGATGGGACGACCCCTAAATCCCATGGGATGGGATGGGATGGAAAAAAAAAATTAGATATCCCACGGGATGGGATGGGACGAATCAACTCGTACCATGGGATGATTTTTTCGTCCCATCCCATCCCATCCGGAGCCCTGATATAGATAATCAATGCAACATTGTAAGCTACATGATGAGGACCTTGAAATTGGGCCGAAACGCACCGTAGCTGATTCTTTTGAATTACTCACACCCTCACCCTCTTAAACAAGCAAAGAAAACTTGATTATAAAGTAAAATGCACTAGTGGGTTGCGGTGTCATTCTATTTGTTTTTGTTGATCGAATGTCTTTTAACGACATAAAATAATTACATTAAGAAAAGATAATGGTTGACAACATCAGATGTTTTATCTAACATATTATTTGTCTAATGTGTATCTATGATATCACTGCTCTGTGTTGTTCTTATCTGTATAAAGTATTTTTTATTCTAACAAAGTCTAATGTGGTCAACATTCGTTTGGTCGTTTACTTCGATAATAATAATCATTAGTGGTTTAACTTTATCAAAACATAAATCCGTAGGTGATACTCGTCGAATAGTATCGACAATTATTCCAGATAGTGAATATGAACAAGTCATTGGTAAACGTTATCTATTTGCACCATTTGCCAATGAATCTACTGCTTGGCCAGTAATGACTAATATTCGTAATGTATATCAAGTTGTTTCATTACCACAATATTACGCTCAAGCTGCTAAGGAATTTTGGTTATTGACTGAAAGTACTAATTTAACAACTGGCTCACTACAAATGTCTTGGATGTCTTCGTCTGATAATAATACTTCAGTAGTTTTGTCGAAAATTGATCCGAAAAGTTTTTTGGTTGTTTCACACAATGAAACTACTGGTATGGTTTATACAGCTGCTCTCATTTCTTTCGAACGTATACAATTGATTTTATGCAATCAATCGGATGCAACTTCTTGTAGAATTCTAGAAAGCATTTCATTTCCTCCAGTCTTAGCAAATATTTCAAAGATTGGAGCTGGTTTGTTTATAGATGATTTGGGAAGTGCAGAATGGTTATATATTGGTACTAATAGAGGATTGCATGGATTAGATCTTTCAACATTGATTATTCATCCTTATATTAATGAAATAAATGAATCTGTTTCTTCTTTAGCATGGACTTCAAAACATAGAACAGTCTTTATTGGTACAGCAACTAAACTTTGGATTCATGCATATGGCAATGATGATGGTGAAGAATGGCGTTTAGAACTAATCACTGGACTTATTGATGGACCTATCACTTCATTAGCTTATAATGATGGACAAGATAAGCTTTGGATAGGGCAAGATACTGGCATTACTCTTCTTTCACCAATTCTCATGTCAACAGGACGTGTACATTGGTATTTTTCGAGATTAGCAGGACAAATTTCTCATCCCGGATCCGATATTGGCCATTTACCATTTGCTAATATTACTACTTTAGGTGTAAGCCATTCAGTATTACCTGACGGTCGAGTTTGGTTGGGTTCTATTCGTGGAATGATGCGTTTTGATCCTAACGATAGTGACATGAATGCTTGGCGTGTATTTAATGGTGCTCGATATATGCCTAATCGTGATTCATTGGTCAATATAGTTTCATTAGCTGTATTAAGTCGTGAAAGTAAGGCAGTTACCGCTATGGGCAGTAGCGCAGTAGCAGTCACCAGTAAAGGCTTAGCTGTACTCCATTTTGAGATGTGGACATTGGCACGAAAAGCAAAACATTTTCAAGATTTTTTTAATCAAACAGGTAGACATGATCGATATAATTTGGTCTCAAGTTGTAGTATGTCATCATGGGGAGATAGTCGTACTTGTAATAAAGGACCAGATGACAATGATGGTCTTTGCACTTCAAAGTATTTAAGTAGTCAAATCTTTCGCTATAAAGTAACTCAAGATCCAGCAGTGAAAACATCTGCATGGGCTCATTTTGAAGCATTAGAACTTCTTAATAAAGTTACAGGTATTTCTGGTTATCCTGCTCGTACAATTGCGAAACGCACAGATACTCCTCCTGCTCCACATAAATGGTATTTATCTCCTGTTTATCCAACTCTTCAATATGAGGGTGATACTTCATCTGATGAAGCTGTTGGACACGAATATGTTTATCCATTAGTACATGATATTTTGGCTAGTAATGACGATGAACGTCAAAGAGCTTACACATTGCTCTTCAATATCACGAATCATATTTTAACTCATGATTGGTATCTGGAAGGTGTGAATGGGACTCAAAGAGGTGTCTGGAATCCATTAGATATAAATAGTGATGTTGGCTATGTAGACGAACGGGGACTTGGTAGTCTCGAAATATTAGCTTTTCTTATTCAAACTTATGCTTATAGTGGTGATGAACGTTTTCTTAATGCTACTAAACTTCTTATTGAAACCTATCATTACGATGTTAATATGATTAATCAAAAAATGATTGCAGTTTGTCAAGTGAAATTTTGGAATAATGAATTGGCTTATTTATCTTACTTTAATTTAGTCTCTGCAATCAACAAACTTACTTCTACATCTATTTTATCTACAGCACAAAAGGAGCGTGCACAATCAGTTGTCGGTAAACTATTAGAATATATGACGACTGGATTAGAATTAGCGCATAAATACATACATATGGATAAATCACCATTCTATAATTTCATCTATTGTTATGCTACTGGTCAAGTTAATCAAACACAACATTTATTCAAAAGAATTCGTGGATTTTCTCCTGAATTCGATTGTAATTCATTAACAAAGGATGGTATATGGAATATGCAACGTTGGCCATTGGAACTTATCAATTGGCCACAATTCAATAGTGATCGATTGGATGTTCAAATAAACGTACCTGCTTTTTGTGATATGGAGAGAGCACTTCGATCGATAAAAATGTTACCTCCTGACGAACGAACTGTTGATACATGGGGATATAACGTCTATGACTTGGATGGTGGTAATGGACTTTTGGAATCAGATCCAACTGCTTTCTTAATCGGTTATTGGGGAATGTCTTATCTGAATTTGTTAGGAGAGTGAGCATCTTTTAATGCGTATCACTGATGACACTCTTGATTGGGACTTATTTACATTAATCTTTTGTTTGAAACCAATTTTTTTTCGAAAAATTGATCACTATTGATTTATCGATAATGTATGAAATAAATTTCGATTAGAATTAAACAAACGGTAAAAAGATAAATATTAGACAACCGATGATATACACTAGTTTTGATTCCAATATATTGAACTCGATAGATTCGTTGATTACCATCCTCAATAAACATCAAACTACCATCTTTGTGTACTACTAAACTAATAGTTAATCCGAATGCATCTGATCCATCTGGATTTATTAAAAATCCATCGACAACATCTTCATAATAATCCATGGGACGATTTGTTCTATTGTCAAAAGGTATAAAAACAATATTATGTCCTATACCAACACGTTTACATGGTGAACTATGAAATGCAACAAATGCACTATTTTCCCTCGACTATAGAGAAGGTCATATGAAAAAAAATAGTTTGTGTGTATGTGTGTCTGCATCGGGGGCAAAAAACTTCTACTTTCCAAAAATTTTTCCCTATAAAGGTTGACGAAAGTAAATCGGGGTCGGGGAGTCCGAATCTGAAGTCAGATTTTCAAAATTTTGAAATGACTTTTTTGGATCAAGGAAAAGGTTTTTTGAGAAAATAACGATATTTTATAAAGGTTGACGAGAGTAAATCGAGATCAGCGAATCCGAATCTGAACTCAGTTTCTCAAATTTTGAATTGAATTTTTTTGAGAAAATAGTGTTTCGTAGAGTATAGAAAGAGTTATATGAGACAAAATAAATTTGTGACTGTTATTGTCTGAGTGATGCGTGAGACGCGAAAAAAAACACCATGGCGAAGTGTTTGTTGATGTTCGTACTTTTAATATTGGGCTTTGCACTGGTTCCATTTTTCAAACTGAAAACTCGCTTAATCCGAAGTATGCGATAAGTTTTTTCCTCAAGGAGCTGTTTTATAACTAGGTTTCCACTGATGTGGCTTATTTTTAGCTGAGTTTCTGACTGATGATGCTTTGTATAGGACTACTCTAGTCAGTCGGACATTTTGGATATGGAACTCGACAAAATATGAGTTCGTTGTTTCTTGTTAAAGAAGCGTAGTTTTTTTCATGATACTGTCAGCTGTTAAGATGTATTCGAATTGAAATTTTCATCTGGTTGTGGATAAAGAAGAACATGATGGCGAGATATTCAACTTTTTTCTTTTATATTTTTGTTAGAATTGTGGTAAATGTGGCTATAGGTGTTTTTGGAAAAGTTTGTTTATTTTATAAATGCTTTCGTAAGCATAAACTCCATTGCATCTAGCTATCTTGAAAATACAACAGGAAGTCACAAACTTAGTTTGTTGATTTGACTTATGTCCGTGATGTAGCGCTGTCAAGTGAAAGAACAAACTGATGTATTTAGAACATTTAATCTGTTGTGCCTTGTAATTTAGTTAACAGGAAAATGGCGCTGTGTCACATATAATGTTACAAGTGGGTTTTAAGTATATTGACTTTTTCTAGATCATTTTGTGAAATTTTGGGTTTGTCTCGCCACATTTTTTCCACATTAGCATGTCTTCGTTATGCATTCTGAAATATAAATGTTGCTAATCGCTATTCTATATTTATCAAAGGTGATTTACATAATATCTCTAAGTTTGGAT